GGCTCACGTGACTCCATGCACAATGGAGCAAACCACTGTCCCGAGCCAGCCCTATAATCAGCTGCAAAGAGAACCATTATTATCCATACGATTTTAATTGACTAATTTTCAGAGCTAGACCATTCTGCTAAAGCCTGATCGGTATCATAGAAAAGCTTGAGAGTTACAGAATGTTCCATGGAAAATCCAGGTATGACCCACTTACTGACCAGAAACAACCCTCAACAGTAGCCTGGACCATGCAGTGCAAGCTAAGTGAGAGCAATTGGGATAAAGTAGTAGCAACCTGAAAAATAAAATAAAGTTCTGAACTAAGCTCCAAAAAGTTTTAAGATATAGCCCCACTACTGCTCTTGGGTGTACCTCCAAATGTGTTATGTCATTTACAAAGTAAAGTTAAACTACTTCCAACTCACCTGATTCCTTTCCTCAGACCGTCAAGGGTATTGTGATTAAGTATTGGGGCAAGACTCAAAGAATAAAATAAATAAGAAAATGAATCTGGAAACTTAATTTTTACGTTCAAATCCATGAATAAATTCTCTCTCCCTAGAATCAGCATCTCTCTTCTGGCCGTGGTCATCCACGCTTTATGTAGAGTATCTGTCCACCACCCTGCCCTCTCCGCTCCTCTACCTGCTCTCCTCTAAGAACTGTCATTGGAAATAAATGGATCCCTCCACTAACACAGTTTCTAGCATCTCTTCTCATACCACCGCCTGGTTTCTTTACAGCTTGCTCTCCCCTTGCCCCAATGCCAACAATGATTCAGGCCCATGGAGTCTTCAATTCATTGACTGTAACACTAATTGTCCCTCATCTGTCCTCAGAGTTCTCCTTACCCAGCCTAAACTCCAAATTCATCCAGTTAGCATAACTCCATTTGGTATAATCCCATATCTTCTTTGCCACCAACCCCCACCCCCTTTCTTCTATCACATTTGCTTGATGAAATACAATTCTCCAACTGGCTCATAGCCATCAGTAAAACAACGAAACTTGACTGTAGAAAGACATACAAGTTCACTTTATGAAACATACTTAAAAACATAGCAGTCCTCACTTTAAATTCATGATGATGGACCTCAGGGACCTATAGTTTTAATAAACAAGGGTAAGTTTGATAGGTTTATTGTGTCAACTATGCTCCTGTATTCATCAGGATGCAGCTTGATTGGAGGGCAACCAAGATAAATGGCTCTCTGAGGCTGAATTCTTCCTTTTTTCCTTCTTGGTGAGTGGACCAGTGTGCTGCTGCATAAGCTAGTCTTTTGCCTCAACTGTGTGCTGTGCTACCTGGGGGCTGAGCCAACTTATGGATTGTGTTGCCATGCATGCATCACTACAGGCTCCATCGAGACCTGCTTTGCTAAGCTCCCGAGATACTGGCCTCTGCTATGCCTCAACTTCTCATCTTCCTGCTGTTGCCACCCCACTCTGCTAGGCCTGCTGCCTGTGGCCTACTCTGCTTGTCTTGCCTGAGGGCAGATTCCGCTGTCTGCTTCGTTGACTTGGACCAGCAGCTGGTTGTTGAGTTGAAGAATCTTCAGTATATGAACTGTTCCATGAAAGTGAGTTGAACTGAGCCCTCTGCACTGCTGTGTGGACTAATTAGCTGTTGTATTCCTTCTTGCTATATAAGCATATCCATATATAAAATCCATAAGTGTCCTGGTTTTGTTTCTTTGGAGAAACCTAACAGAGTAGGTAAAAAAATATTGCTACTATGGTTCCAGTTCACATTCCAAACAAAATATATTTAAGTACGTCAATGCAATCAGTGAGTTGCTGCTGGCAAGCTCTCTCAGTAATAAACTTCTAATCTCATTAGAGAGCCCTATCAAAAATAAAATTGCAACCCAAACTTTATCTTGTAATGGGATTTCCTGAGCCAATTTAATTCATGTTTCTATATGCAATTTTACCATCTTACCTTCTTATATGCTCGTATAGTCCACATCTCTCAAGCAAATGTACTCTTTCCTATGAAGACTAATCCTTCCACTTGGATCCCGTCCTCTCACACTTCCACAAACACCAACTTCCTACATCACCGATGTCTTCCTCTTTATAGAATCAGCATAACAACCTACAATGAGGTCAGCTCAGAAGATTATGGAAACTGAAGTTTGAGATTCCAAAGTGATAATCTTGATACATTTTCTTAAGGTTCATGGAGGACCACAGGGACATTTTAAGAAAACTGAAAACTGCATTGGTGAGAAAAAGGTCAGGAAAGTAATGCCAAGGAATCATTCTCCAGGTGATCTCATCCAATCTGGTAGCTTCAACTGCCATCAACATGTTGGTACTTGTTATCTCTAACCATGACCTTTCCCCTCAACATCAGCGATATAGCCAACTACCACAACTCTTGAATGTCAAAACCAAACTCTCAAATTTCCTTCTCAGGTTATTCCTCCATCAGTTGTCCTCGTTTCTCTAAATGCTTCTTCCATTCTTCCATTTGTTGCATCCAGAAACCTTGAACTCCTGACATCCTTGATTCTTCTCCATATCCAATCCATCAGCAGTTCCTCTTTTTTAATATCCATAGAAACTAATTACTCTGTCCGATCTCCTCTGTTGAAGCTCTGGTTGCATAGCGGGCTGGGATCTCCATTGTCCTCTTCAAACCACCAGGCGCTCCTCAAAGGAAAGATGGGGTTTCTACTCCCATAAAGAGTTACATGCTCAGAAACTCAGAGGGGCAGTTCTACCCTGTCCTAAAGGATCTCTATGAGTCAGCATCGATGCCATGGCCGTGAGTTTGGTTTTGAATATATATTGTCAGTCAGATCACAGCACTGTACTTCTCAAAATTTTCCATGTCTTCCCATCCCACCCAAAGTACAAAGGACTTTAAAGGACCCACGAGATCTGACTTTACCACTAGCCTTCCACCAGTAGCCACCCAACCCTTCTGAGCTCATCCCCTACCTCTATTCCGCTGAACTACTTCAACCACACTCTTCCCCGGAAACCCAAGGACATCGCATCTTCACGATCTTTGTGCTTGCTGTCCCTTTTCTTAAATCTTTCTTCCCCAACGATTAGCATTCTTTACAAGCCCCTCACTTACTTCTCTGTTCAAAACCACTCCATTTGTGGCAATTTTCCTGATCTTCTCCACACCAACTAGTACCTCTCACTGTGCACTCCCCTTCCGCTTGCTCCCTGGACCCTGCTGTATCCTGTTCATGGTGCTAACAGAACATGGTCGACATTTATTGCAGATCTGCCTAATGTTTGTTTCTTACTTCTAGAAACACGATACAAATTGTGTTTTGCTAACTGGTTGGTTTTCCAGTGACTAGAACAGTGCCTGGTGCATATTTATTGGACATAAATATATATTTGAGGGGGTTTCAAGAAGTTCCTGGAAAAATTCCACTACTATCTTCTAATCCCATTTTCCATGAACTTTTTGAAACTCCCTCATATGTGTACATGTGTGTGCATATATTATATGTGTATATATAGAGATATATAGAGATGATAAATAGAGAGAAGGCACAAAAGAATGGTTTATTTTTCTCATCTCACAGCTAATTCCGCTTCATATCCTCTTCTCAAGCATGAAGAGAAAATTGATACAAATAGTAAATTTTAATAACCTAGCCAAAAAAGTTCAAAACAAAATATATTTCAGATCTTACCACTCTGTATTACAGCAATTTACTACATAGATTACATAGATGATAACTTCTTTTAGGAGAGTGCATGTGTTTGTCATTTTAAAAATGCAAATAGAATTTCAGCATCAAATTAAAACATACAGATTTACCAGGAAGAAAAAGACTTCTACTGGTCAGATAGATATTAGTAGAACTCCCAAGACTAAGTTCCTTAAGCATCGTTTTTGTCTGGAAGGGAACTCAATTTTCAGCCAAACAATAGACCAGTCTATCATGTGAACAGTCTATGCACTTCCAATGAAAAGAAAAGATTCAAGAACAGAAGGGCAGCATTGGCCCGAAAACAAAGTTCTAAAAAGGAAGAGACAAAACAGAAAGGCAACAGAAACCGTAAGCACAGAAAGGAAGCGGGAAGATTGTTTTACATTGTAGGGCTTGCAATCAATGACATGGGACAAACTGTATAGGAATTATTGAATGGAAAATTGTGAATGGAAAATTGATTTTCTCTGTAAATGTTCACCCAAATCACACTAAAGTTAAAAAATATAAAATTTACTGCTTTAGAAAGAGGACTTGCTAAAACCCACTTCGATCACGAAAAAGAAAAAAAAAAGAAAGAGGACTTGCATTGAGTGTGACTAGCAAAATCAAGACATATAACAAACACAAGAAAATGGGCAAAAAGAGACAGTAAACAAATAGAGTGAGTTTGGCAAATAAGTTATATTACAGAGATTTAAGAATTTTAAACTTTTGCTAATAATATTTCAAGATATCTGTGTGATCTTCAGTGTGAAAGCAGAAATCTACATACGTGAATTTAAGCAGAATAAAAAATATCATTCAAAAATGTTTAAGGCCAGAAAATAAAACATGAATGATCTCAACTACTATGGTTTTCATTTGCTTTAAGACTGAAATGCACTCTATTATCTCATTTCCTTTTTGATTTTTGTTTAATATAATCAGGAAAGTTTATCATTTTTATGGCTCTAACATTATTAAAGATAAGTTCATTTGAAGTTTAAAAGAAAAGAAATTTCCTAATATATTAAAATCTATTGGAAGTTAGGAGATTTTGTGAGTTAGAAGCAACAGTATGCCTTAATTAGCTTTAAATGTTTGGGAGAAAGTTAGTTATCTTTTCTTATTTATTTCAGTTAAAAAAATGAAAGCAATGGATGCAATTTAAATAAAATGTCTGAACACTAATAATTAAAAGCAGGACAAATAAGATAAAAAGAAAGCACTAAGGTACCTGTTTGATTTTTAGATAATCGACCTTCATTTTATATCAGAGTACTTATTTCCCCAATGTCATGATCATTAAAAGGGCCCCACTACATGCGGTCCACTTACTCTACACTGATCGTGCTGGAGCTGCAGCGCTGGAACATCCCCCCCGATGGGCATTTGCTTCTTAAGCTCCTCATCCTTCATGGTCAGCCATCTGACCAGCTCTTCTAAAGACGTCAGCAGCCTGTTCCACTTCTCAGCACTGGCCTCCAAATGGGCCCTATTAACAAAGGACAGAGATCCCCGTTAGAAATTCGATTTGCACTCACAAAATTACCTTCCTTTAGTCTAGCATTACTAAACAGCCAATTTCCAATAAAGATGATGACTGATTAAGACAAATAAAGCAACAAGAAAAGATTTCTGACAAGAAAAATCTGCTTTATGCAAGCTATAAGATTGAACTGGTGGCACAGTGGATGATACATTGACCCATTAACTACAAGGTCAGCAGTTCAAACCTACCAGCAGTTCCTTGGAAGAGAGATGAGGTTTTCTGCACCTGTAAAGATTTACCACCTCAGAAACCCGAAGGGGCAATTCCACCCAGGGCTGTTATGAGTTAGAATTGGGTTTTTATTTGTGTGAGTGTGTGTGTGTGTGAAGATATTTATACAGGAAGATAGATCTAAAAATGTTGGTGTGTATATGTGCATGTGTGTTTGAGAGAATGAAAGGATATATTATTATCTATAAAAACTCTAAACCATACACCCTCATACCACAAATGCATTCTTCTGAAGCTTTCAAGAAGGGCAGCTATGTAGCAATGATGACTGTGTAATCCCCCACCCACACCCCAAGCGGAACGAATAACAGAATTGTAGGTGAACAGATATGTTGGATGGTGTAAAATATAGCAATAATAATAATAATGGTTCCAGAAGGGTAAGTGGAGAAGAGAGAGGAGAAAGGGGAGCTGATATCAAAGTGTTCAAGAAGAAAGAAAATGTTTTGAAAATGATGGTGGCAAAAATTGTGCAATTAAACTTGATCTAATTGAATTATTGTTATAATAGCTGTAAGAGCTCTCAATAGAGTGATTTTTTCAAAAAAGTAAAGCTAGGAAATAAAATGATAAGAGCAAGTTTTAGTACCTTATGTGTAATATATATATTCTTTAATTTCAACTATATACAATAAGATTTCCCCAAAAAATGTGGAAAATGTTCAGTATCTTTTGATTCCAATATCCCACAAACTTTCTCAAGTCCCCTGGTACATGGAGAGAGAGAAAAATTATATGTAAATAAAATATTTAGAACGACATACCAGATGTGGTTACAACTGAAAGCATAGGAAACACATAATTTGTATTTATTTTGCCTTACTTAAACATTTAAAGTACATTCTTTAAAAAAATGTTTTAGGAAATGCATTTATAGCATCTCACTTTCTCTTTTAAGCAAATACAGTACTAAAAACAATCGCCACCAACAATGGCCTCACGAGACTGGAAAACAAGAACACATGGCCTAAACTGAAGAATACTCAGCTTAAAGCTGATGGATGTCCTGTGACAGATATTCACTGTGATCAGAGACTAACTGTGCTGAGTTAGTGACTGTAGTACTTTATACCTTGATGTAAAGGTGAGTGCTTTGTTGCGATTATAATTCTGGGTTTTAGCATAGAAAATTAGCTTTGTGATTCTAAAATTATGAACTTTATAATCAGGGCACCGCTTTGAATAAGTACAGTTTTATCGGTTCAAATTTCCAATCAAAGCAAATGCCCAGGGGAATAGAAGTGTGAATTAAAAGCACAAACTTGCTAGTGGCTTTTCTTAGGGCTCTGAAGAAAACCCAGTTATCTGGCATCAACCCTCTCTGCGGGCTTGATTTGAAAAGATGGATCAGACACAAAAAATTCCAGAGACTCTAGGCCTTTAGTCCACCCTGGAGCCCAGCAGTGAGACTGTGAATGTGGATTTCAGTGCTAACCCAGGTGACCTGGAATTACCTTGACTGCCCATGCCCTTTAAGACTCAAAGAAGCAAAGCTGACAGACACAAACACAGAGCTTTATTGTATGACAGCTTTCCAAGAGTAAAGACTTCCCCTCTAGCTGTCTTTCAGTGCACAGGAATGAAGTGGGTGTACCTATACACGGTGCATATTCTCCTGAGACGGAGTTATAATTTTCCATGTATCATGGCCGTCCTTCTCAAAACCCTCATTGGTATGCCCGAAATCTCTGTTTACCAAGCTTCATATCCTCTGATATAACTCTCGCAGGACCTCCATAAATCTGTCTTTCTGGACAGCTAGGGGAACCACGGTTCGTCCAACCAGGCAAAGCCACTGCTGCCTCTTAGACCTATCAGTAATTTCCTCTTTGAAAACCTGATCTTCTTCCACTTTGTCTCAATGGTGCTAGCTTCCCTGTGGTTAATGTGAACAACTGTTCGCTCCTGGGTCATGTTAGATGCGATTCCTAACAAGGTGAATTCACTAATATCATGTCACGGCTCCAAAGTGCATTGTGTTTTCAGAAGAACAACTATAATCTGCTCACCTCTAATCTACAAAATAACAACTAGAATGTAACAACCAGTATTTTGGCTGAAAATAGAAGCTGGAGTTCTGCATACTTAAACAGCCTGGCCCAGCATCCACTGCCACATACAAAAGTCCAATTCTTTCTCCATCAACTTACGGTTTCGTTGTTGCTGGGTGCTATCAATTGGATTCCGACTTACAAAGACCCGAAGTACAAGAAGACTCCCTGCCTGTGCCATCCGTCCAACTGCTGGGATGGGTGAGCCACCCAGGATAAACTATTCAAACACCAAGCTTCTATGTTTAACTCAAAAAAAAGCTAGGTGCAAAGTAATACAAAACTTCTACGTATAGGACAAAGTTCAAAGCATTTTATAACTCCCTGAAAACTGTCTGATTAAAAAATCGACACTTCTCTCTTGCACTATGATTGGGATGGCTCATCCCCTCACTTGACAAAATAATGCTTTAACTGGGTTTTGATCCTGCTTAAGCCCTAGGTTTTCTGTGTTCATAGTGATTGATTTCAGGCCAAGTCTGTAATTACCTTTCTCTGATAAACAATAATTTTACTGTCACAGCGCAGAACTAAATAATTTCAGTGGTACTCACTGAAAATTCTCCTTGCTGTGCAGTTACAAAGCATTCTGCAGCACGCACTGAACGGAGCTGTTGCAAATCCTTTCCCACGTGTCCAGAGGTTCAAGGGAAGGACTGCTGGACAGCAGAGCTCCTCAGCCACTTCAGGGCCGGGTGTCTCTGTGCGCAAAGTGCGCATGCATGCACCTTGACCCCGTGCTTCAGATGATCAGATCCTGTTTCTTCCGGCTCTGAGCTTAACTCTTTAATCAATAAATAAACCATGCGTTATATTCTTTGAAATCCAGTTACACACACTTTTTGTACTGAAGAGCGTGCAAATATCTTGTTCAATGCAATTAACTCCATTGACTGCACAGAAATAATGAACCTGACCACTTCAACTTCAGGCATAAGAAGTACAAGTTATCTTGAAGAAGTCAGCACCGTAAGCCTGATCTACAAAGATGAAAGCAAAATGGTTTAAGAGAATACTAAGGTGACTTTGAAATTATTTATATATATATATATATATATAAAGGTAGCATTGATATAGATGTTTCTCTGCATCTTTCTTTCCCTGTCATAAAAAGAGCAAGCTGGTCTGGCAGTCTTTGTCTGGTGAATCTGTTCTGGTTATTCTCTAATACCTCATAACTACCAATTCAGTGGATTACTCCCATATGGCAGAATAAAGGCACGCTTCCGTAGTAACCTTCAGTGTTCTACTTTCAATTTAATTCTTTCATCTCATAAGATGAAAGCCCCCTTTGGGGGCATGAACAGGGTGGGGTGGGGTGGAGGCAATGGGTGAATGCTTTGTTAAGAAAACACCTGAAATTTGTGTTTGATGTAGTTGTACTCTCTCAATTTGACTACAAACATTTTCGAGTTTAAAATTCCCCCAAGACTACTGATACATAACCAGTCATGTTTTTGGAATCTTTACTTAAAACATTGATTTAGCTAACCCCCGCCCCCCGGCATTCATGTAAACATGATCGATTACCCTACCTTCTCAATACTTCTAGTTCACTCCTACGCTACTTCATGGGCACAGAGTCATAGTCCTCTCAACAGACAGATTAAAAACTAAGGCTGGCATCTAGTACAGACTAAACAATTAAGCTGCTTAGATGCAATCATTTCTTTTGTAACTCTGTGATTTTGAGAAATGTATTGCACAGAGACATTAGAAGATATGCTTCATCATTGCTACCCTGCACCCTGATTGGCTCGTCTCCTCCCCTCAACCCTTCAGCGAGGGGGTGTCCAGTTGCCTACCGATGGGCTTTGAGTCTCCACTCTGCACTCACCCACCTTTATAATGATATTTTTTGTTCTTGGATGCTTGATACCTGATCCCTTCGACAGCTCATGGTCATGCATGCTGTTGTGCTTCTTCCATGTGGACTTTGTTGCTTCTGAGCTAGTTGGCCGCTTGTGTATCTTCAAGCCTTTAAGACCCCAGATGCTATATCTTTTGATAGCCTGGCACCATCTGCTTACTTCACCACCTTTGCTTATAAACACGATTGTCTTACCTACTGATCTGAATTTTAGTTCTTTGATGTCTGATAACTGGTCCCTTCTGCACCTTGTGGTCAGACAGGCTGGTGTGCTACTTCCATGTGGGCTTTGATGCTTCTGAGCTAGATGGCCACTTGTTTATCTTCAAGCCTTTAAGACCCCAGACGCTATGTCACTTGATAGCCGGGCACCATTAGCTCTCTTCCCCACATTTGCTTATGTACACATTTGTCTTCAGTGATTGTATCAGTAAAGCGGACACCCACTGATATGATAAATGCTCCCCCCCCCCACTATCCCAATTCTACCTTACAAATTTGGCTAGACCAGAGGATGTACATTGGTACAGATAGCAACTGGAAACACAGGGAATCCAGGACAGATGACTCCTTCAGGACCACTGATGAAAGGGGCGAGGCCTGAAGGGTGAAGGGAACGTGAGGTGGAAAGGGGGAACCGATTACAAGAATCTAGGTATTGCCTCCTCCCTGGGGGAGGGACAGCAGAGAAGAGGGCGGGGGGAGACGTAGGACAGTGTAACTTATGACAAAACTATAATAAGTTATGAATTATGAAGGGTTCATGAGGGATGGGGGTGTGGAGGGAGGGG